GTATGTGCGGTGCGCGGGCAGGGCAGGGCGTGCACGGGTTGTGTGACGGGCAGGGCAGGGCGCACGCGGGTGGGGCGCGACGCAGGCAGGGCGTGCGCGAGGCGGCGCGAAACAGGGCAGGGCATCGCGAAACAGGGCAGGGCGCGCGCGGGCAGCGCGACGCAGACATGGCGTGCGCGGGGCGGCATGACGCAGGGCAGGGCAGGGCAAGGCAGAGCAACGAGTGGGGCAGCGCTACGGGCAGGAACGATCAGGTGGGCCCTAACGAAGGCGGTCCTGGAACAGGACCTGCTCTGATACCATGTCAGAATCTAGCAGCAGGAATGAGTGAACTAGCAATGAGTTTGGTACAAGTACTAACCCTAACTGGGTTTTACCCCATATTGGCTACTCCGCTATAGCCTACACACCACAATGTTCTGACACACCCGCCTCACAAAAAGTTCAAGCAATTATTTCTCAAATTCAAGCCATCTAGCTATGCATAGGTCCCCCCCATTTTTTCCTCAAATAGGACGATGCCTGGCGGAATCACCAACTTTATTTTTAATCCCCGCATCTCTCTTTCTGACCGTCACGCTTCGCATGATGGACGTCTCTTATGCATTTGTGCAAGTTTCCTCCAAGAACAATTCCGCTTACTCGCTCTGAACGCACCCTCTTACTATCTCGATCGCCGACGTTGGTGGGACACTGTTGTCTCACCCGTTCTTGTAGACCCCACTGCTTACGAGAAGACTATTCTCACTGGGGACTTTTAACTCTATTTCCTCCGACCTAGATCCAAAAAGCCCCCTCCGGGCTCATGAAAGAACAGAGCAATGGGCCTTCAACTCTTTATTGGAGACGTCCGAACTCACTGACTCCTTCCGGCAACTTCATCCTGACAAAGTCATTTTCTCCTTCCATTCCGTCATTCACTAATCTAATGCTGGCTTCATCGCTCCAGCCTCACGACTCGACCGAATTTACGTTCCACTAACGTGGACTGCTCGATTCTCGTCGGCTGACTACCTCCTCGTTCCTCGTATTCTCGCTGGCAATTCTCGAGGTCCTTCTTGTACCATTACGTTCGACGACCCGAACCGGGCCCCTTGACCATGGCGATTGCCTCTCTCCCTACTCCACAAACCCTACATTGCACGGTTGCTCTCGGATGCCGTTAACGATCTCCCCCAAACCTTTCCTCCTGCAGTCTGGGATGGTTGGAAAAAACAGCTATGCCATTTTCTCAAACTCTACACCTGCGAAGAGCGTACACGCGTCTCCAAAACAACGTCCCATCTCCAGGACGAAATTTGTGCTCTCCAACTACACATCGCACACCACCCATCGGACTCTCACGTAACCGCACTCCTGGCCCGCTTTTCCATGCAATTTGATAAATATGTCCTGAGCCGTGCGTCGGAGATCGCACTTAAGGCACGCCTCAAAGTCGAAGGTGCTCGTAAAATGGGTGTTTCTTCCCTGCTCTCTGGGCTGAACCGCCACATTAAGGACGGGAAAATCAAATCACTTACTCTTTCCTTAGGGATAGTCTCCTCTCCTCAAGAAAATGGCTGCCCACTGCACTTCCTTCTTCGCTCAGCAGTACGGTGGCGGGACCACAGACCCCTCCTCTGACAACTTTTGACCGCACAACTATCCCTCCTTTCTCCCTTCTTCTAGCCTCTCTCGCCGCTCTGCACCCATGTCAATCTCCAAAGTGGAACGTGCATGCTCAGCGCTTGCTCGCGGACGTTCTCCGGGTTCGGATGGCGTGCCAGGAGACTTCGTGTGCATTCACAGAAAAACTCTTGCCCTTGCCCTCCACTAAACGATACAATCCGTTTGGCGACACGGGTCCCTCCCAAACTCCATGCTTCAGGGCCCCAAAAAAAGGGAACTCATTGCTAGTTGAAAATCTTCTCGCCCAATCACTCTCATGAATTTCGACTACAAGGTTCTAGCCATTTGTCTTGCAACCCGCCTCCAAAGAGTTGTGGCCCACATCATTCACCCTGTGCAATCCGCTTTTATCAAAGGGCGATGTATTGGGGACACTATCAACGACACTTTGGACGTTATTGACTGGGCTACGTCTCGTAACCTTCCACTATTGGTACTAACAGTTGATATCCGCAAAGCTTATGATCTGGTGGACCGCCAGTTCATGTATAAGTGTCTCTCCCACATTGGCTTCCCCCCCAACTTCGTCCGATGGGTTCAACTTTTGCACTCCCACACGCGAACACAGATCGACGTCAACAACTTCACAGGGCCTTTGTTTCCAGTAGCTTCTAGAGTCCGCCAAAGGTGCCCTTTGGCTCTTTTACTTTTCGCCTGCATCATCGAAGTCCTTCACCGCCATCTCATGACCAGCCTGCCCGGTTTTGCTCTGTCCAGACTTCGACAAAAATTGGTCGCATGCTATGCGAAAGATATCTCAATCTTCCTTAATTCCAACGCTGAACTACGTACGGATAAGGAGTTGCTCCAAACTTTCGCGGCTGTCTCGGGCGAACCACCCAATTGGGATAAATGCTCCATTCTCCCAATCGCCTACTCTCGTGGCCTCATCCGTGATGCTGGTGTTATCCCCATTCTCCACCTCGACGATGCTGAACGTATCCTAGGCGTTTTCGTCCGGCAGTCTTCGCCGGGCACCGTTACGTGGGACCATGTTCTCTCTCGCATCCTTTCGACTGCCACCTTCCTCTCCAAGCTCAAAGCAACCGCAACTTGTATGAAATTACTCGCCACTGAAAGACTTAATTCGCTATTCTCCTTTAGTGCTCGGTTTCAACCTCCATCGCTAGGGGTTCTCCATCACTTGGAGAATGTCATAGAAAACTTCCTCTCGTCGTCACAATTTAAGAAGGTCGGTTTTATCTCTCGCCGCATTCCTAAACGTTTCATTTACAACAAAAAGAAGGATGGCGGTCTCTGTGCTATTAAACCTACAGTCCAAGTCCATGTTCTCAACATCTAACGCGCCCTTCGACGCTTCTTGCCCACTCCTTATCATGATGTCGCTCGGACCTGCACCCCCCTCTTATATGGCCTTTAATACTATCTTCTTCACTCTGATGTTGTTAACACGCTCAAACCAATTACCCCCCCTAGAGCCTTCATTGAAGTCTCAAGTCTCCTGTCCTCCCCGGTAGAGATCCTTCCTCCTCGGTTGGAACCTTGGCTAAAAGTTTCTGCTCACTAAACAGCTTCGCATTGGCCATTTATTAGTACCTATACCCAAAGGCACTCGCCGCCTAACTCCCAACGAGTTCAAAACTAAGTTTCCTCCTAAAAGCTTCCCCAGTGGGCGCCGAATCTTTGCGGCCCTCTGCTCAGCCATTCTTGAGGATTGGTGGGACGTTATCCAATCCTTTTGCCCTAACTCTGACCTCCTATCGTGCGGAGATTGGGCCGTCCTGGCCTCACCACCTCCCGGTGCGGTTCCTCAAATCTTTCACGTTCTCTCTCGCCCCTCTCTTAGCTTGGCGTGCTTCCACTCGTTTGACGTCCACCGACGGTCGTCGTGTAGCTGTACTTCCCAAGGCCCAAGACGTGTTGCCGATCTCTGCCGTCATCCTGGTCCTCGTTCAAGATCGATTAGCAACTCATACTTTTTGCTCCGGAGGAGGTCTCAGCGCACGGTTCTCCATCACCCAACACGGCCCAACGTCCCTTGCTAAAATATGCAAACTGCTCTACACCATCCGACCCACTACGCATGTTCAATGCTGGAACGACTGTCTTCGCCATACTCTACCGTTTCTTCCAGGCCTCCTTCACCACTTTCTAAAAGAGCAGCCAAGTCGCCAACGTGATCTTCTCTTCCGGCTCTACACTTGCTCGCTCTCGTCCGGATCCCACTTTAGGTTCACATCAACCAGTGGTGCGTGCCCCCGTTGCCCAACTGCCCCCACAGAGTCTCTTCCACATATCATTTTCGAGTGTGGAAACGCTGTCGCCATTCTCACTGCCATCCAACGCGTCGCAGTGCAGCACTTGTGCAATCGATCGACATAGAACAAGCCCTTTTTCTTCCCATGAAGGGCAAGTTGCCTCCAAGGTTAAATTGAATAAGCGTTATGCTTATTTTTGCGACTAGGAGTCTTCCTCTATCGTCGACACCTTGCACAACGTGCTCGCGCTTTTCCTCTCGGATTGCAAGATTTTATTTTTCCGCCAACCTTCCTGCTCCGCCAAACGCCTCATCCGCTCCAGAACCAAGGTAGCCATATCGAATCGACTCCCCTCATTCGACGACTTTGGTATATTACACATCCATGATTCACTGTAGAAGACTTGGTTGCTGAACGACTGCTTGTGTCCCCCATGATACCTAATCGTTCTCATTGCAAGGTGGGAGGGAACGGTTCTCTTCCTAGTGGCTGCGGCTGGACTGGTAGCGCTTTTTCTGCGCAAACTTTGTTAGTTTTGGCTTTTTTGCTATTCGTGCTCTTTGCAATGTAATGTTTAGGTCACGAATTTTTATTAAAATCTTAAAAACCTTAAAACCTTAAAACCTTAAAAACCTTAAAATCCTTCGCGATTATCTTGCTCGGAAGCGCGCAGCGGGTTTAGGCCACCTTTCCTAAGGGTGTGGTTAGAGTAAGGAAAATCGTTTTCGTAATCGGGGTTTCCTGATTCGCGTACAAACCCAAACTTTTGGTGTGCACGTCCCGCCAACATCAGCAATACCGAGGCTGTTTCGCTTCACCCCCCGTGTGTTTTCTTGCCCAACCTGCACCCAACCTCGCGTTCTCAAGGTTCCCACACCGCCTAGCTAGGGTAGTCACTACTGTATATTAATTGTTTTCCACGTAGCTCCTAGTTTAGTTTGGCAGCTCATAACATCTGCCCTCGCATCAGTTTAGCTAAGGGGTTTTCTGCGATCCGACCTGGTCCATCTTTCCCACGATAGTAAGGCTACTATTTCAGCATCCCAGACTCGGATAGACTAGTGTTTTAACAACGCGCACCTTCGCATAGGCGTTTTTTTTCGTGGTATTTAGATGGGGTTGGAGACGCCACAAGAATTGGAGCAAGCGGACGGTAGGGAAGCGTCAGGGCACCCCGCATTAGTCGCGGGAGCGAACCAGTCAGGGGGAGAGGCGCCGCACCCGGCGAATGCGGAGGCGAGAGCGGAGATGGAGGCGGATGAAGCAGCGCGGGAGAAGCAGAGAAGAAAGCAGAGTTCGACAGGGCAGGTGATGGAGGTGCCGCCCATGGACGAGTACTTGTGCCCCATCTCGGGCGACGTCATGGACGAACCCGTCACCATCGCGTCCGGCCAAACCTTCGACCTCAAGTCCATTCAAAAGTTCTTCGACGGTACGCGCCGCGCGAGATTGCGAGGGTCATCCGTGGAGCCGAGGACGGGGAGGGTTAGGTGGCTGTTGCGAAAGTATGAGCGGAAATGCGAGGGAGAGCGAAGGGCTTGGCGAAGCGGAGAAGCAGGGAGGTGGTTGTAGGAGGTGACGAGGCCTGCTACACGCCACATTGCCGTGCACGGCTGGCCGGCTTCGGTGCAACGCTTCCCTTGCGATAGCTGGCTAGCAAACTGTTGCAGGAGGGCCTGAGCACTGGAGCTTCCGTTCTAGGGCCACATTGCCGTGCACCGCTGGGGCTCCTATATGGCCACCGTAACGGCCACGACCATACCGGTCACACCGCTTCATCACGTTACAGCATTCTAGGACTGTCTCTTACTGCCCCGCCTCTCTCTCCCACCCCGTTCCACCCCTCTCCATCCCTCGCTTCCCCTCTCCACCCCTCTTCCGCGCGTTGCGCGCAGAGGGCAACAAGCACTGCCCAGTAACGCAGGAGCCACTGGAGAACCTGGAGGTGACGCGGAACGAGGACATGGCGCGGTCCATCGAGGAGTGGCGCGCGCGCAACACGGTGATGCGCATCCAGGCGGCGCGGCCGAAGCTGCAGTCGGGCAAGGAGGAGGAGGTGGAGGGCGGGCTGCTCGACCTCTTCCAGCTCTGCGAGGAGCGCGCCACCAACCGCTACTGGGTGGCGGCGGAGGGGCTCATTCCCGTCGTCGTCAACCTCCTCAAGTCCACCAGCCGCAACCTCCGCCGCAAAACGCTCGCCACCCTCGCTAACCTCGCCAACGGGAATGACGAGAACAAGGTGCGGGGGATTGTGGTGGACGTGTGTATGTGTGTTGGGGAGGGGGGCCAGCGAGGAGGACTTGTTAAGTCGGGCTTCCGCCAATCCCTGTCCGCCACAGCCTCTTCCCCGTACCGTCTCCGCTGGAGGTCGTAGCACGCTCAGGCGCCGTTCAGCTTCCAGTGCCAATTACTCTTAGCGCTCCTCGCACGCAAAACCAATCCCTTCCTACATCCCCCGCACGACCTTTCCACTCGCCACCCACTCCATTTCCCTCCCCCCATTCCGCCCTTCCCCTCCCACGCGTGCCCACCGCTCCCCCCCACGTATGGCATGGCACGGCATGGCACGGCATGGCACGGCATGGCACGGCAGGAGCTGGTGGTGGAGGCGGGCGCCATTCAGCTGGCCGTGCGGTCGCTGTCGCGCGACGTGGGCGAGAGCCGGCAGGGCGTGGCGCTGCTGCTGGAGCTGTCGAAGAGCGCCAAGGTGTGCGAGGAGATCGGTCGCGCGCAGGGCTCCATCCTGCTGCTCGTCACCATGCTCAACAACGAGAACGCTAACGCGGCCAAGGACGCGGCGGCCGTGCTGCAGCAGCTGGCGAGCAACGACCAGAACGTGGTGCAAATGGCCGAAGCCAACCACTTCAAGCCACTAGCGGAACGCCTCACCACAGGTGGGCTCATCTTTTGCGCGGTGACTAGCGTTCAAGTCCAGTCCGAAGGCTCAGTCGTGCCCTTTGTCCCTGTGATTGCACGTCGCCTAGACCTAGAATATTGTTAACCTCATCTCCCACCAACCCATCTGTCTCTCTCGTCTCCTCCCCTCCTCCCTTCTTCCCAACCTCCCCTCTCTCTTTCCCCCCCCCCCTCTCCATTCCATTCCCGCCTCTCTCTCCTCTCCCTCCTTCCACCTCTCACCTGCTTGCCACCCCCTCCTCTCTCCCTCCCCCCTCCCTCCCCCTCTGCTTGGACAGGTCCCTCTACGTTGGAATGGCTCTTGGGAACTTTCAGAGAGAGTCCCCCTCACGGACTAGGCAAGGCGCTGCCACGCCCTAGAGGGCGGTGCCACGGCCGGGGCAAGGTGGTGGCGGTGCAGCAGAGATCACTCCCCACCATCCACACGTCTCTTTCTCTTTCCCCTTCCACCTTCGCCCCCTCCCTTCCACCTTCGCCCCCTCCCTTCCACCTTCGCCCCCTCCCTTCCCCTTCCCACCTCCCCGCGTCCACCCTCGTCCCCCGTCCCTCCCCCGTCCTCCCTCCTTCCAGGCTCGACATGTTTTGGATCGGGAGGGCGACTGCACACTCCCGTGCGCCCCGCTACATGGTACTTGCGATTGACTCCCAACCATCACATCACGTCCCTTGCTCGCCCTACCCCCTGCCCGCCAGGCTCGGACATGACGCGGATCGTGATGGCGAGTGCGCTGTCGCGCATGTCGTTGACGGACCAGAGCAAGGCAGTGCTCGTGCAGCAGGGCGCCATCCCCCCCCTCGTCACCATGATCGCCTCGGGCAAGCTCGAGGCCAAGGCGGCGGCGCTGGGCGCGCTGCAGAACCTCTCGTCGCTCGCCGCCAACCGCAACGAGCTCATCCGCGCGGGCGTGGTGCCGCCGCTGCTGACGCTGCTCTTCTCCGTGACGTCCGTGGTGATGAGCCTCAAGGAGGGCGCCGCTGCCATCCTGGCCAACATCTCGATGGCGGGCGCCGCACAGGCGGAGACGAGGATGGAGAGCAATGGGGCGATGCTGGAGTCCGAGGAGACCATCTTCCAGCTGCTCTCGCTCATGAACCTCGCTGGCCCCAACATCCAGGTGTGCTGTGCTGTGCTGTGCTGCCGTCACCCTCGCATCTCCTACACACCTGTTAGAATTTTATTGGGCTTTTATGTTAGCACCACACGGAAACCACACAGGGCCTTCATATGGAGCAGCAGGCTGGGGCATGAATAACCAGGGCGTATCCTTGTGTCTCTGTTGAATGTCCCTCTGTTGAATGTCCCTCTGTTGAATGTCCCTCTGTTGAATGTCCCTCTGTTGAATGTCCCTCTGTTGAATGTCCCTCTGTTGAATGTCCCTCTGTTGAATGTCCCTCTGTTGAATGTCCCTCTGTTGAATGTCCCTCTGTTGAATGTCCCTCTGTTGAATGTCCCTCTGTTGAATGTCCCTCTGTTGAATGTCCCTCTGTTGAATGTCCCTCTGTTGAATGTCCCTCTGTTGAATGTCCCTCTGTTGAATGTCCCTCTGTTGAATGTCCCTCTGTTGAATGTCCCTCTGTTGAATGTCCCTCTGTTGAATGTCCCTCTGTTGAATGTCCCTCTGTTGAATGTCCCTCTGTTGAATGTCCCTCTGTTGAATGTCCCTCTGTTGAATGTCCCTCTGTTGAATGTCCCTCTGTTGAATGTCCCTCTGTTGAATGTCCCTCTGTTGAATGTCCCTCTGTTGAATGTCCCTCTGTTGAATGTCCCTCTGTTGAATGTCCCTCTGTTGAATGTCCCTCTGTTGAATGTCCCTCTGTTGAATGTCCCTCTGTTGAATGTCCCTTAATCTCTCTGCTCCTTCTGCCCTGCCGCTCACCCATCTCCTTCTACACCATGGCATCTGAAGGTGTGCGTGTGCATGTGTGTGTGTGCATGTGTGTGTGTGTGTGTGTGTGTGTGTGTGTGTGTGTGTGTGTGTGTGTGTGCACGGGTGCATGTGCATGTGTGTGTGTGTGCGTGTATGTGCGTGTGCGTGCAGGTGAATCTACTCAAGGCGCTGCTGGGCATGGCGTCGGTACCGCAGGCCATGGAAGTTCGCAAGCGCATGATAGTGGGCGGAGCAGTCGACGTGCTCATCCCCTTCATTGACGGCTCCGAAGGGGTCTGTGCCACCTGCTCCCCATCCCTGCTGCTGCTGCTGCTGCTGCTGCTGCTGCTGCTGCTGCTGCTTGTGGTGTTGGGTGCTGAGTGTTGCGGGCTGCTTGTTGTTTTGTGCCATTCTCTGAGGCACGTCAAATAGCCTGCATGGCTGCCACCTCCGGCTGCGGCTCTGGCTGCGGCTCTAGCCACAAATGCCGCCACTCATCCCATCTCCCTCTCCACCTTCACCTCTCGCTTTCTCACCTGCCACCCCTGCCCCTTCCAGCGCCTCCCCCCCCCCCCACTCCTTTCTTTCTCACTCCTCCCCCGTCTCTCCCCTCATCCCGTCCTTATGGTGCACGCACCCATGGGCCTGCCACGCCCCTCCCGCACCCACCAGGGGCCAGCGACGAGGCCGTTGGCAGCGCGGGTGTTGAGGGAGCTGTCGAGGGAGGCGGACGCAGGAAAGAGCGTGGCGGACAGCCTCATGGACGCCCAGGGCGCGCCGCTCAAGGCCATCATCGCCATGCTGCACGACAAGGACTCGTTTGATAACCGCGCTGCTGCTGCTTCTCTCATCGCTGCGCTGCCGCCCAGTGACGCCAAGCTCAACCAGGCTCTCGTGCAGGTGGGTGGCCGTGTAAGTAACCGGGTGGGTAGGGGGGCCCCTATCATTGAGCCGACTAATATACCAACGCCTGAAAATCGCGCGGCTGCTGCTTTGCTCATCGTTGCGGCTGCTTCTCTTATCGTTGCGTTGCCGCCTAGCCAAGTGACGCCAAGCTGACGAGGCTCTTGTCCACGTGGGTGGATGGGGGGATGGGTTGACGTGCATGTGTGTATCCATGTGTGTATTCATGTGTGTATCCATGTGTGTATCCATGGTGTGTGCATGTGCTGCTGATGTTCTTCCATGTATCCCCATTGCAAGGAAGCATCGCCATTGCCTTCCTGGGCATGTCTTTGTCGACTTCTTGATTCGTGTAGTGTAGTGCCGCGCCCTGCAATTCCATCTTGCATCTTTCTCCTACCTTCCTTCTCCTCTCTTCCTCCTCACGCGCTCGTCCCAACAGGCGGATGTGGTGCAGACGCTGGTGACGATGCTGGGCATGAAGGGGGGCGGCGTGGGCAGCAACGCGCAGCTCAAGGACGCGGCTCTGGACGGAGCTGCTAACGCCCTCGTGCGCTTCACTCTCCCCTCCAAGTATGCCTCCCTGCACCCTCCCTGCACCCGCATCATCCATCCACCCTCCATGCATCATCCATCCACCCTCCATGCATCATCCATCCACCCTCCATGCATCATCCATCCACCCTCCGTCCATCCATACTACTTCATCGTCTGCCGCATGTCACCACCATCATGAACAGACTGCTTTCCCCCCATGAGGCGTTCTCTCCAATCTCACACTCCCCCGTTGTCCTCTCAGTTTCCGCACATTATACTGCCCTCATGGTACCCACCAGTCTCTTCGTTTCGCCCCTGCGTTGCCGGTTACCAGCAGGGTTACGAGCGGCGGGTTGGCTCCTAGCTCTGCTAAAGCCCTTTCCCCTTCCCCCTTCTCCTTCTCCCCCTTCTCCCGTCCCCCCTTCCCTCGTTCCCCCCCCCACCCCGCAGCATCAAGCAGCAGCAGCAGCTGGCGGAGCTAGGAGCCATCCCGCAGCTGGTGACGCTGCTGGTGACGGGCAACGCGGGGGCGAAGCGGGGAGCAGCGCTGTGCCTGGGCAACTTCTCCGAGTCCAGCCCCACACTGTCCGTGCCCGTCAAGGCCAAGTCAGGCGGCTGCTGCTTCAAGGCGCCCGAGGAGCCCAAGTGTGTGGTGCACGGGGGCAAGTGCTCCGTGCGCTCGTCCTTCTGCCTGCTGGAGGCCGAGGCCATCGACCCGCTGGTGGGCGCCATGGGCGAGAAGGAGCCTCTCACGGCGGAGGCCGCTCTCACGGCGTTGTCCACGCTCATGGGGGACAGCTGCCGATGGGAGGCCAGCGTCAAGATCATCCATGAGTCTGGTCAGCCACGCTGCTGGGTCGGGTCGGGTGCCTGGGGCTTGTTCGGGTGTTGAGAGGGGGGTTGGATGGGATGAGATGGGATGGGATGGAGGGAGGGAGGGTGGAGTGGGCAAAGCAGTGTAGATCAAGGCATTTGATTCTCTGGATGTTTCTGGCATTTCAGCGTTCCATGGATTGTCCGCTGGGGTGTAGCTGGATGGTTTGGGTCGCAGGGCATTGGTGTTGTGGGATCACACCCTGCTACCCCATGAAGCTCTTGTCTCCTATCCCCATCCCCGCTCCCATTCCCACCCATCCTGCCTGACGACTCCCTTGTCTCTGCCTCCCTGCCGCTTCTCCTCCGCGCTCCCTCCCTCCCTCTCTCTGCCCTGCCTGGCGGCCTCCCCTCCCCATCTGCCTGTCTCTGCGTGCCTCTCTGGCGTGCACCAGGCGGGTTTGGGCGGGTGGTGCAGCAGCTGAGCGAGGGCACGGAGAGGGCCAAGGAGAAGGGCGTGTGGATGCTGGAGAAGCTGTTTCGCCTGGAGGAGTACAAGTTTGAGTACGCCACCAAGGCCCAGGGCGCGCTCATTGAGATCACCCAACACGGCTCCAACGAGACCAAGCCCGTCGCTGCTAAGATCCTCAGCCATCTCGAGCTGCTGCACCAACAGTCCAGCTATTTCTGAGCTGCTGCACCAACAGTCCAGCTATTTCTGAGCTGCTGCACCAACAGTCCAGCTATTTCTGAGCTGCTGCACCAGCAGTCCAGCTATTTCTGAGCGGCTGCACCAACAGTCAGCTATTTCTGAGCTACTGCACCAACAGTCCAGCTATTTCTGAGCTGCTGCACTAACAGTCCAGCTATTTCTGAGCTGCTGCACCAACAGTCCAGCTATTTCTGAGCTGCTGCACCAACAGTCCAGCTATTTCTGCAGCTATTTCTGAGCTGCTGCACCAACAGTCCAGCTATTTCTGAGCTGCTGCACCAACAGTCCAGCTATTTCTGAGCTGCTGCACCAACAGTCCAGCTATTTCTGAGCTGCTGCACCAACAGTCCAGCTATTTCTGAGCTGCTGCACCAACAGTCCAGCTATTTCTGAGCTGCTGCACCAACAGTCCAGCTATTTCTGAGCGGCTTACGGGGTTTGGGTGGTTGGTTGGTTAGGTTAGGTTCAGGTGCTTGGGGAAATGTGAGGGTGGTGAGTGTGAGGGTGTAGGTGTGTGCTTTGGGTGAGGTGGGTGTGGGAGGTAGTGTGGATGGTGGAGGGGTGTGGATGGTGGTGGGTTGGGTGTGGTTGAGTGGCTTGGCATGGCACCATCTGTGGTGTGCTCCTGTGTTTATTGCTGCTGGGTTTGCTCCTTTCTTTGGCAGCCCAGCATTGCAGGTGAAGAATCAAGCAGCCTACTTAATTATCTGCCAGTGCTAGGTGTTCAAGCTTATTTATGGATCCTGGCACCGGAGACCTTGTGCACATCACCCACCTGAGTATTGTGTAGATATTGGATCTGAGTAAAAATGAGATAGGTCTTGTAGATCGTAGTGTAGCTGAGTATGAATCTGTTGTTTGACTGCTCAATCGAGAAATGCCATTTGTACAAGGATTAGAACTTCAATGATCGAGAAACAGGCCCCATGATATCAGGGATTTTCCCCTGAAATTCCTGATTTTCAGCCTAGTTTTGTGTACCTAGTAGGTACCGTAATCACCCGGACATACCACCCGCCGAAATTGAACACCCCCCGGGTGGCTTGTGCGGGGTGGGTGCTATAGCGGACCTCGTTTCTACTACCTACCACCCTGTTGGGCCGATCCGGTATAAGACCCGGGGGGGGGGGGGGGGGGGGGGGGGGGTATGTACGGAAAAAAATGATGTTTTCGCCGAAATTTTGCGCAGGGACGTGACCGCACCAGCGAGGCTGCTAAGCCTGTTGCGGGAATTCCGCCTATGTGACTGCATGAATCCTCGTCGAGCGACGGGGGGTGTGTTTTCGACCAATCAGGGCATGACAGAGGGCCTGTTGGAGCTTGCAATGTGGCAGCTTCCACTCGAGGCTAAGGGCGTGTGCACTAGGGGTTCGAACTGTCAGAATGTGATGGTTGTCTAGCCTGCAGTGGGGTACTCTATAGCGAGTACAGCCCTTCTAGGGTTTGCTATATGTATCCCTATGCTTGTTAGTGAAAACCCTTCTTGCCTGTTTCTCGATTGTGCCTAGTATTTCGACATGCTATCAGAGCAGGTCGACCCTCCTGGGTCGATCCTGTGGGTGGTCCCACCCGTTAGCTTCCGCTGCTACTCTGTGTGTCGCGCCCCCCGTGGTGCGCGACGGATTTTTTCTTCCCGCCGTGCGCCCCGAGGCGCGCGGCGGTTTTCCCCCGTCGAAGCGCCCCCCGTCGCCCGTCGAAGCGCCCCTGGACCCCGCGCGGGCCGCGTGCGGCCCGTACGACCTGCGCCAGGCCCGCGCGCGGCCCGGGCAGCCTGCCCCGGAGCCGCGCGCCGTTCCCCGAGCTGCTGCCCGCTGTGTCCCCCGCTGCTGCCCGCGCTTCTGCCTGTATTAGGGCTTGGGGTGGCGAGTGTGGGTGTGGGACAGTTGGGGGAGCGTGACAGGAGGTAGCCGGTGTGACGTCTGCAGCGCCAGTAGCCCGGGGGTTGAGTACTCCGGTAGCCCAGCGAGCCTGCTGCGCCAGTCGCCCGTGGGTCCGTTGCTCCTGCAGCTTAGTGCGGAGCCAGTTACTCCTGTAGTCCGGAGGTTGAGTGCTCCGGTAGCCACTGTGCGCGCCGTTCCTGTTGCCCGAGTGTCTGTCGCCGTGTAGTCCGGGGCTCTGCGCCTGGTAGCGACAGTGCTGCGCGCTTCTGTTGCGCGTGTGTCTGCAGCTTCAGTCGTTGCCTCCCATCTTCTTGCTCCCACAGTTTCTCCTCCTCCTCACTTGCCCTCTGTGATAGCCTCTAGCTTTGCTTGTATTTGTGAACCTACTGCTCTGCCTGCTTGTTGTGTTGATTGTACCCCACTTTGACTATGGGGGTGTGTCAGAATGTGATGGTTGTCTAGCCTGCAGTGGGGTACTCTATAGCGAGTACAGCCCTTCTAGGGTTTGCTATATGTATCCCTATGCTTGTTAGTGAAAACCCTTCTTGCCTGTTTCTCGATTGTGCCTAGTATTTCGACACGAACTTCTATCTAAGTTCGAACTTTTAGCGAGGTTCTACTCGGTGCAAAGCGGTGAATGTTCAAACTTCGACAAATTTCGCCCAAAGTGCACACGCCCTAACGTTATCGCCTCATCCTCGGTTTTGCGCACCCAACCAACAATCTACCACCGCAGCAAGCATGTACATTTTGTTCCCAACCGTTTCTGCTTTCAAAAAAACGTACATCATAAAGAGACCCGGGTGTTATGTAGCTTTTTCCCATGACAAGACCCCCCCCCCCCCCCCCCCCCCCCCCCCCCCCCCCCCCCCTTTTTTTGATGTAGTTATCATAGCACCCTAGAGTGGTATGTCAGGGTGATTACGGTACTACCTACACTGATTTTTCAGTGTTGAGATTTTTGTGACATTGATTTTTTCAGCCTTTATTTCATAGCTAACACTGATTTTTCAGACTTTTATCGAAGTGTACACTGAATGCACATTCCGAATCCTTCCCGTAAAACTGTCAAACATTGCATGTTTATATTGTCTAGGCTGTAGTGGGTTACACCTTAGGGGGTACACAAAGTTAGGGTTTCCTACTTGTACCAAACTCTGTTCTAGTTCATTCATTCCTGCTCAGTTATTTCTGACATGGTTTCAGAGCAGGTCCTTCGCTAGGACTGTTCTTAGGGCCCACCGACTTACCTACCTGCTTACCTTCGCTTGTTTCCGGCCCCGCTGGCCCCGTCGATCTAGCAAGATCTAGCGGCCCTGCGGCCCCGTCGAAATTTTTTTTAGCGGCCTCTCACGGCCCCCGTCGCGTCGCCCCTTAGCGCCCCGATCGGCCCCGTCACGCCGCCCGCGAACCGCACAGCGCGCCGCGCTCACAGCCCGCGAACCGCCCGCGCACAGCCCGCGACCCGCCTGCGCAGCCCGCGACCAGCCCGCGCAGCCCGCGCACAGCCCGCGAACTGCCCGCGAGCAGCCCGCGACCTGCCCGCGAACCCCCGCGAGCCGCCCGCGACCCGCTTACGCAGCCCGCGAGCAGCCCGCGCAGCCCGCGCTGAGCCTGCGCGGCTCGTGCGCTGACCGCCGCCGGCCCGCACGCTGCCCGCACTGCTCCCGGCCCGCCGCTGCTGAGCCCGCAGCCGCCCGCGCACCGCCGCTGCTGAGCCCGCCGCCGCCCGCGCACCGCCGCTGCTGAGCCCGCAGCCGCCCGCGCACCGCCGCTGCTGCGCCCGCTGCCGCCCGCGTATCACCGCTGCTGAGCCCGCCCCTGCTGCGTCGGCTCTCGCTGCTTCCTGCTACTGCTGCTTGTGCGCCACTACAGTCCGTAGGCCCCACCGGCCCCGCTGACCCTGCGCACGCCTTTTCAGTGACTTTACTGCTTCTACTTCTGCCGCTGTCGCTATGGCTAGTCCTCCTGTTCTAGCTTTCGACGCCGAGGGCCGTCCGGTCAAATTCGAAACCTGGCTAGATGACCTGCACCTTTTCCTACAGCTCACTGCCAAGGAAGATATTACACTGTACGACCACGCTCTCGGCCATGCGACCGCCCCACTCGCTACTGCCCCCCCAGCTGAGCGCTCACAGTGGCAGACCCGTGACGCGCACGCTCGCTTTGCTATTCGCAACTCCCTGCCGCTAGATGAGCGCGAGCACTTCGGCCAGTGCAAGACTGCTAAGGACCTCTACACAGCTGTAGTGGCCCGCTACTCCTCACCCGCTTCTGCCACACTAGGCCGCCTCACTCTCCCCTACCTGTTCCCCGACCTAGCCTCTTTTCACACTGTCGCAGACCTCATCACCCACCTTAAGACTAGTGAGGCTCGCTTTCGCGCTGCCATGCCTGATGAGTTCCTCGCTAGCAACCCCCCCCCGCTCTGGATCACTCTCTACCACGTTGTCACCCGCCTCCCTGACTCTCTGCGCCCTGTCAGGGACCAGTTCCTCTCTCGCTCCCCCACTGAGCTCACCATAGCCCTCCTCGAGAAGGAACTGCTTGCAGCCGAGGCTAGTATCGTCGCTGTAGGCACCTCTCGTGGCGACCCCCGCGGCCCCTTCTTCGAGGGGTGCTCCCCTTCCCCCCTCCTCCCCTCTGTCGCCTCTGCTGCTGCTGTCGACCTCCTTGGTGCTGAGAAGGTCGGGGCTGCGTCTGCTTCAGGCGGACGACGCAGGGGCAGGAGTGGCAGGAGTGGGGGTGGTGGCGGAGGAGGCGGGGGTGGAGGTGGTGGCGGTGGAGGTGCGACTGGAGAGGCTAGTGGCGGCGGTGGTGGAGGTGACAGCGGTGTTGGGAGTGGTGACAGGGGCGGAGGTGGCAGCGGAGGCGGAGGTGGTCGTGGCAGCGGCAGGGGTGGAGGTGGCCGGGGCGGAGGCGGAGGGGGTGGTGGTCGTGGAGGCCCGGGGGGCGGTCAGAGTCAGCAGCCTGCCCCGACCCTTCAGGCCGCCCGTGAGTGGTATGCGCGGCGCAGCGTCACCTGCCAGTATGTTATTCGTACAGGTGACCGCACTGGCCAGACGTGTGGGGGGCCGCACCAGACGGAGCGCTGCTTCG